AACAACAACAACAACAATATTAATATTACTTGATAGTTTGCACATTCTGTGGAGCACTTTTCTTTGGAATGGGCACGAATATGGATCTCTTCTAGTCAGTTGGTTAGATACCTATTTTCCAGGGTTCTTGACATAGATGAGTGAGTGCTTCCAGTATTGCATCCATTTCTTGAAACATCTCAATGGGCATTCTGTCAATTTATGAAGGTGTGTTTTATTGCCAATTCCTTCAGTGCAGCTTGGACTTCTTCTTTAATGCTATTCTTTAATGCTACCTTCTGAAATTGTTGAACATCAACCAATTCTTTTTGGTACAGTGACTGTGTATTCCTTTCATCTTCTTTTAATGCTTCCTACATTATTCAGTATTTTGCCCATAGACTCCTTCACTATTGCAACTCGAGGCTTGAATTTTTCTTCAGCTCTTTGAGCTTAAGAAATGCTGAGCATGTTTTTCCCTTTTCGTTTTCTAACTCCAGGTCATGGCACATTTCATTGTGATACTTTGTCTTTTCTAGTCACCCTTTAATATTGTCTATTCTGCTCTTTTACTTCATCATTTCTTTTGTTTGCTTTAGTTACTCTATGTTTGAGAGTAGGTTGCAGACTCTCTTCTGACGTCCATTTTGTTCTTTTCTTTTTTCCTGTCTTCTTAATGACCTTTTTATTTTTCATATATGATGTTCTTGATTGCATATGAAATGTATAAAAAGCATAGAAAAAGAATTTTAAAATTTTGTTTTTGATTTTTTTAATATTTTCAATTAATTCATATAGTATAAGTATATGAAAAGAAATATATATATATACATCACATGTATGCATATTCATATAAACATTTTAAGACTGTGTTATAAATATATTATTTATTAATTGTTTGGAAATATCAATGTTGAATTCTTAACTTTCCCCTGTTTGCTACGTGATAAAATTTCCCAGTTTCATGGTTGGAAAATGAGGTATGTTGGCATACTTTAAAAGAGAAATGGACTTAGCCTCCACAGATGACTTTGAGATCATTTGGGCTATTGTTCCTACAAAAGTCATGCTGTCACTTTTGCTAATACAGTCATAGTTGTAATCCTCTTTGGTACCTGACCCACCAAAAAATAAATAAATAAAACAAACTCATTGCCGTTGAGTCAGATCTGACTCATAGCAACCCCTCCTTGGGTTTCTGAGGCGGTAGTAGATTGCCCAACCTTTCTTCTGAGAAGTAGCTGATGGGTTTGAATTGCCAGCCTTCTGGTTGTTGTTGTTGTTGTTGTTATGTGCCGTCGAGTCGGGCCCGACTCATAGCGACCCCTCCTTGGGTTTCCGAGGCAGTATCACTATGGAAGTAGGATTGCCCAACCTTCCTTCCGAGGAGTGGCTGGTGGGTTTGAACCGCCAGCCGTCTGGTTAGCAGGCAAGAGTCTTAGCCACTATGCTACCAGAGCTCCCAGCCTTCTGGTTAGCAGTCAAATATCTTAGGCACTGTGCCACCAGAGCTCAGTTTGCAGAAAATAAAAGTCAGACTTCTGTTCTAAGACAAATTGTGAGAATAAACTCAAGTTTTACAATTATCATATTGCTTCATTTTTATCCTGGCAGTTGGGGGAGCTTGAATTGGGTTGGGGAAGAGGTGGGGAAAGCACAGAGCACTGTATTAACATCTGCTCTCCTCTCAGGCTCTCGGAGAGAAAGGTGTGGATACCGCATAGTGCGAAGGCAGAGAAATTCCGATGAGCAGCTGCATTGCCAGAGCAAAGCCAAGAAAAGCGGTGGGAATGTGACCCGCGTGAAGGAGCTGCTGCTGAATGCCTTGAGCCCGGAGCAGCTGGTGCTCACACTGCTGGAGGCCGAGCCGCCCAATGTGCTCGTCAACCGCCCCAACCTGCCCTTCACGGAGGCCTCCATGATGATGTCCCTGACCAAGTTGGCTGACAAGGAGCTGGTGCACATGATTGGCTGGGCCAAGAAAATTCCCGGTAGGACTTTCTAGGTTTAGCTTTCCATTTATTTGTAAAAAGATGTCCCCTTAACATGTATAGAGCAAGAATACAAAGGAAGCTCCACAAACTATATCTAAATGTTGAGCAGATTGACAGCTTGATTTATAACTTTTAAATAAAATATATTCTTTCCTCCTACCTTGACACATGACCTGGAAGGCCAGGTTCAAATTTAGATTTCTTGGATTATATGCTACTTTATATTCCATAGGAGCTCTGGTAGTGTATGTAGTGCCTAAGGCACTTACTTGACTGCTAACCAGAAGGCTGGGGCTTCAAACCTGCCAGCCATGCATCAGAGGGAAGGTTGGGCAATCTACTTCCATAATGATACCACCTCGGAAACCCAAGGAGGGGTCGCTATGAGTCGGGTCTGACTCAACAGCACATAACAACAACAACAACATATTCCTTAAGTATGTGAAAAGAACTATATGTATATTGTTACACACACACATATGTATATACATGTAAATATTTTAAGAATGTATTATAAACATATACTATTTGATGACTGTTTGGAAATATCAATGTTGAATTCCAAGTATTGCAGATATTAAATTGGTTAATACATGAAGAAACTTGGAACAGGGCTTGGCACACAGTCAATGTTGTATAAATAGTAGCTATTAGCTTTTTGTTTATTTATTTATCAAAATATTTTATTTTATGTTGTTGAGAATATACATAGCAAAATCACACACCAATTCAAGTTTCTACATGTATATTTGCAGTATACTTCTCCATATTGGAGTTCTATGTATATTACATGTATATTTCAGTATACAGTAATCGACCAATGACATTGATGACGTTCTTTGAGTTGTGCAGCCATTTTCACCCTCCTTTTCTGAGGTGTTCCTCCCTGCTGTTAACTTTTTATGATTGTTATTTGAACATTGGGAGAATAAAGCAGAGCCGGTATTAGTGATGTGTCATTCCGCCCCTATTTTATTTTTTAGTCCTTAGATGTGCAATGGGATTTTTAAAAATTAGCGCAAAACTATCTCATATGAAAGGAGGATTTTCAGGGTTGAATTTCGATTTTGTTGATGGAGGAGTGAACCCTTCTTAATATCTCTGCCTTCTGTCCCCATTTCCTATTCCCTCAGTAACACCTGTAGCAACTCTGTAAGGTATAAGCTCTCTGACGTCTGATCAGACGTTTTCTGTTATGTTTCTTATCATTTTAATGTATAAGCTTATTATTACATCCCTAAGTGAGAATTTTGTATCTTTGTCATCCTGGTAATTAATCCATTTAGTAATTAGAATTTAATCCTGAATCATATGAAAAAGATTCTTTTCCCTTCTCCTTTTGGCTTCCTATACCTCTTTCTGCCATCTAAATTCCATTAGCAAGCCCTTATTATCTTATTAAAGTATTTTAATAATATGTGGTTATGAGGGTAAATGTGAAACCACTAAATATGATACTTTTAACCCCAGTGTTTTTGTTTATGATCCGCAAGTTCAAGAAGTATTAGTTGTTGTTGTTGTTGTTATGTGCCGTCGAGTCGGACCCAACTCATAGTGACCCCTCCTTGGTTTTCCAAGGCAGTATCACTATGGAAGTAGATTGCCTCATCTTCCTTCCAAGGAGTGGCTAGTGGGTTTGAACCGCCAGCCTTCTGGTTAGCAGTCAAGTGCCTTAGGCACTATGCTATGAGAGCTCCCTAAGAAGCATTAGACAGGGTGACAAATCTCACCTTAACTTTGTGAAGCAGTTTGTATGTTCTGTCTCTTTTCTGTTTTAAGATCAGGGTCTTCCCTTTTTCAGCATTTTCTGTCTCTCTGTGGGGTCTTATGGAGAGCAGCTATGTCTTTTGTATGGAAAAGTCTCAGGGACATTCAACATGTTCTTTTTGATTCTCAAAAGTGTCCCAGTTTAGATGATGAATATTATAGTCACTCTGTCTTAATCCTCTTTGTAACCTCCAGTCTTCCCTGTTTTTGTCTAAGAGTAGACTTTTTAAAACTAGCTATCTTGTTAAATTTAATTTGTTTTTCAATAGTTGTTGGTTCTTGTTGAATCTCAGTTCTGCTATCCAATCTGCTCACCCTCCCTTCCATCATCTCTTGTCTAGAAAATAGATTGACCTGCCTTTATGTTATCTCTATGTATAGTTGAAAATATTGAACTGGACTTGGCCAGGGTTCATGCAGATTCACTCCAAGTTGATACAGGTTGGCATGGAACATTGTTCCACCCACACAAACACATAACTTACCTGTCATCTAGCCCATTCTTTCCAGTCTGGTTCACAAGGTCATTCTGAGAACTTTATCCCTATCCAAAAAAAACCCAAGCCCGTTGCCACTGAGTCGATTCTGACTCGTAGTGACTCTATAGGGCAGAGAACTGCCCTAGAGGGTTCCCATGGTAGTTTGGTTTGTGTGTCAACTTGGCTGGGCCTGGTTGAGTGGCTGGGCAGCTGGTGGTAGTTAATCCCCATGAGAAGACTGGCAATCAACTCCATGGTGGGATCTACCACAAGCTGTTGAGTAGCTGCCTTTGGGATGTGGTCTGCTTCCTGTATATAAGGAGAAGCTTTTTAGAATGGTCTCTAGCCTATGGCACACTTGGACCCTGCATGTAGCCTTGTCTTGGTTGAGCAGCCTGCTATACTTTGCCAACCTTGGGACTTACAATGGACTTAAGTTAATGGCCTGCCGTGTGGTTTGGTAACATTGGACTGTGCCTTTTTACTTGTCAACCCTGGGACTTCTCAGCCTCAGCATCCTGCAGCCGTCTGAGTGAAGAAATGCCTCTAGCTCCAGTGGGCCGGGAGCAGGAGGCAGAGCTGGACCCCAAGGTTGAAGAGCTTTCACCCAGCCCCTAGAGCCTGGCACTTTGAACTTGGACTTAAAGCCTCCAAATTGTAAGAATGAACTCCTGTTTGTTAAGGCCATCCCATCTGTGGTATATTTCTTGTCAGAGCAGCACTAGGTAACCAGAACAGTTCCCAAGGCTATAAATCTTTACAGAAGCAAGTTGCCACAGCTTTCTTCAATAGCATGGTTGATGGGTTTTTACCACCAGCCTTTGGTTATTTAACAGCCAAACACTTAACCACTGTGCCACCAGGGCTCCTTTTATCCCCATTCCTTGCTGAAATCTTGAAACACTGTCAGTAAAATCCTTATGAACTGTAAGTCTTTGGAGGGTCTGTGGAAGTCAACATAGCTGTACTGTGCACACACACTTGTAAACAGATAACCTCAACATTTAGTGAGTGCTTAAAACATCATAGACATTCTGCTATGCACATTATGCATGTCACTGGTATGGATCATAGTTCATAAACTCAGGCCTGCAACAATGATCATGTTTCTTTATATATTTTGTATACACATCAACACAATCATCTTTCCAACCTCTATTGCTATGGATCATTCACAGACTTAACTTCACTTGCCCTAGGGGATCCCCACTTCTAAGATGGGCAATAGTTCTAACTAAGGCTTTGTACAGTGTCATGGAGTTGGTGAAGAGGCAAGGGGGCCTCTGTCATTAATCCTCGCTACACATCTACCCACTGTTTGCGTGGCCTCATCAGTTCTAACAGCTCTTTGTTGTTTCTGGGACTCACTTGGGAAGCAGAAAGACGTGTCAGGAAGCTTTCCTCTCTGGGATCTTCCATCTCCAGGTTGCTGCCAGGAAATCAGATCTGAGTCTTCACTATTCCAGGGCCCATGGGCCTTCTTTTCTCCCTTCCACCCAGGGAGTGCTTTCCTCGGTGTAGTAGTATGTTCTTCAGGCTGGCCTCTTCTAGCACAAAGCCTCAGTTTAATCATTGCAGAAATTCTCAGACGTAGGTATTATTGCCCCACTTTTCCTATAAGAAAAAGACTTAAAGAGATTAGGTAATTAGCTACTGAGAAGCTGAGTGGGGAGGAGCCTGAATCACTCAAAGGCTGTGTTTGGTTACTGTTTTTTTTTTTTTTTTTTATCACAATGCCTCTTCCTTTTAACATGCCCCATAGAGAAAGCCTCCATGATCTTTGCTTTGCTTTTGAAGTACTCACCTCCTCAGAGATTACCTAGGTTCCTTTCTAGCTCTCTGACCAACCAATGCATGCTATTCGGCAAGTGATACTTGCTTCCATGGTTACATTTGCTCTTTAGCTTGGAATACCCTGGAGATAGTGCTCCTCCCGAGAAGAATGATTCTAACACAGGATGGGAAGTTGTAAACAGTTGGCGGAATCTGTTGGAGCCTTGATTTTTCCACAAGAGCTGGCACTGCTGCCTGCCTGCCCCTCCCACTTTGACTACCTATGCCTGTCCCAGGACATAGGCTGGGTCAGACAGTCCCTCTGACTACAGTCGAGCATGTTCTTTCTCAGCGGGAAATAGTAGGATATAACTAACAAAGATGGGTTCTGACTTTCTGTTCCTCCCTAGCATCTATCTTTCTGGGCAACCATATGAGCCCAGGTAACAGTTCTTGATAAATTCTCAGTGAAGTATATTTGTTGCTAGGAGTCTAAGTTGGGAAATTTTGAGTTGCACACTTTATTAGTTACCTACAGCTGCTATAGGAGCTCTGGTAGCATAGTGCCTAAGGCATTTGACTGCTAACCAGGAGGCTAGCGGTTCAAACTCACCAGCCATGCCTCGGAAGGAAGGTTGGGTACTGCAAAGTAGGGGTGGCTTTAAATGACAGAATTTTATTTTCTCATAGGTTGGAGGCTAAAAGTGCAAATTGAGGGCATCAGCAGGTCCGTGTTCTCTCCAAGGCTCTAGTGGAAGATACTTTCTTGACTCCCAGCCTCTTTTAGCTCCAGGTGTTCTTTGGTTTCAGCTGTCATCCCTTGGCCATTTGCCCTGTATTTTCTATCTCTTTTATAGGATACCTTTCAGATTGGATCAGGACCCACCCAACTCCAGTCCGGGTTCATGCTAACTGATTGTATCTTCAACGACTCCAATTCCAAACAAGGTCACCTTCACAGGGTCCAAGGGTTAGGACTTTAACATAAATTTTGAGGGATACAATTCAATGCATAACCCAAACCCCAAACCAAACTCATTATCAGTGAGTTGATTCCAATTCATAGTGATCCTATAGGACAGAGTAGAACTGCCCCCATAGGGTTTCCAAGGCCGTAATCTTTACAGAGGGAGCTCTGGTGGCATACTGCCCAAGGCATTTGACTGCTAACCAGAAGGCTGGAGGTTCAAACTCACCAGCCACTCCTCAGAAGGAAGATCACGCAATCTACTTCCATTGTGATACTGCCTCAGAAACTCAAGGAGGGGTCTCTATGAGTCGGATCTGACTCGATGGCAGTGAGTTTGGGTTTTTTTGGTTTAATCTTTACAGAAGCAGACTGCTTTATTTTTCTACTGCAGAGCAGCTGGTGGGTTCAAATCGCTGGTCTTTCGGCTAGCGTCTAGGTGCTTAACCAACGCCCCACCAGGGCTTCTTCAATGCATAACACACGCCTTCAATTCAAAATTTCTTTCCTTTAGCCACCATTCAACCATACTTTAAAGTATTGATCATTTCTTCGAATTGATTGTGTTTTCTTAGCTTTTTGAAACTTGCTGTTTCTGGTTTTACAAACACAGGGCGCTGAGGAGGAGGGCGGGTGTGTCTCACAGCCTCTTGCTTTCCCTAGGCTTTGTGGAGCTCAGCCTGTACGACCAAGTGAGGCTCTTGGAGAGCTGCTGGATGGAGGTGTTAATGGTGGGGCTGATGTGGCGCTCCATCAACCATCCCGGCAAGCTCATCTTTGCTCCAGACCTCATTCTGGACAGGTGAGAAAAAGTTCATTGTGTTTCTTCTCCAACGTGTTTGAGTGCACTGCTTAGTGAGTGGGAACAGGTGCTGTAATTAAAATCCCACCCCTGAAAGGCCGAGGATGAGAATGGCATTGGCCCTTCAGGAGTCAAAAACCCAGAACGAGAGAGCATGGGTCGAAGTATCCAGTGTCTCGTGACTCACTGTTATCTGATAGTGCAGCAGCATCCATGGGTCGAGGTCAGAACAGGGCCTGTGGCCTGCAGGGCTTGTGGCCAGCAAGTACACAGGGCAGTTTAGATTTTTCTACATTAACAATTCCATTTTCAGGTTATACTTTTAAGTTACTCTGTTCTGTAGGGACCAATTGCATCTCCAGCTATCTGGACAGCTTATAAATCTGGCAAATAAGTTTTAATGTGCTTTACCTCCCCCTAATGGGGGACAGTGATGGTTCAGTGGTAGAATTCTCACCTTCCATGTGTGATCCTGAGTTTGATTGCTGGCCAGTGCACCCGTGGGCAGCCCCCACCCCCCCAACTGTCAGTGGAGGCATGTGTGTTATGATGTTGCTGAACAGGCCTCAGAGATCTTCCAGACTAAGATAGACCTGGAAGAAAAGGTTGGTGATCTACTTCTGGGAAAAAAAAATCAGCCAGTGAAAGCTCTGTGGATCACAGTTGCCCAATCCTATTGCGCATGGGGTCACCATAAGGCGACTCTAACTTACAACGACTACCAACAGCAACAGCCAACAGCAACAACACACCCTAATGCTTGTCTTAGGTAGTATTTTGGCAATAGGAGTGAAAGGAGTGGTTATTAAAATCAAATGAAATTTAATGGAAATTGGGGAATGATGGTTTTAATACCATAACTTGCTAGCATTTAGTTTTCTTTTAAAGATGGCACAGAAAAGGAACCAATGTTTAATTGACTTATATGACCTATAAAGTGAACTGTTTTGGGAGGGAACACTGGGACAAACAGTAACACTAACGGTTCTTAGAGGAATAGCAGAACATTTTCTTCGAGCAAATTTGAGCAGTTTGAAAAATCTCCATGGAAATCTGTTTTCACACTTAGTTGAAAAAGAAATGCTGGTGTTGAATGTTCAGTCACCTTTGGGATGCCCAGTGCTATTCACTGACTGGAACCTGCCCCCAGCTGTTGCTGTTACCTAGTTAGAGCATCAGAAGATCCCCATGTACATGCTACTCACATGAAAAACAACATTCCAAGGCATTAGAACGCACTCTGTCTGTTGTCGTGGATGAACAGACTGGCAGAGGGTACTGTTCTGAACACCAGATGTGTTCTGGTGGAGCACAGAGCCTTTGGGAAGAGCGGGAGCATGAGATGTGGCTTGAGTAGGAACAAGTGCAGGTGGAGAAGCAGAGAGACGGCGGCTCTGGAAGTCCAGAGCAGTGTGGGGCCGCAGATCCTTTAGTAACTATCAAAATAGTTATTGAGGGTAGGAATGCATAGGAAAGGACACAGGAAAAGGTAACCACAGGGAGAAAGTGGAAAGAGGGCTGTTCCATTATGGGGATTGCAAGCAATGTCATGAAACGAAATGTGTATGAATGACTGTCTGGAAAATGAATTTGCTCTATAAATTTTCATCCAAATCACAATAAAAAGAAAAAAACAGTTATTGGCTTAGATGTGCCAGGCATCATCTTAAGCATTTGAAGTGTGTTCACTCATTTAATCTTCTCAACATTTCATTTAACGTTGGGGGTAAATATTATTATTCCTGTCCTTCTGATGTGAAATGGGAGACTAAGTAACTTGCCTGCAGTTATAGGGTAGTAGGTTGTGGAGCTAGACTTGAGGGTCTGGGTCTGTAGTCAACAGTCTTAACTACAGTGGGTTTTCTGCCTCTCAGTGGGATAGAGAATAGGCAGGAGAAAGAGGAGGATGTTAAGACAAATGAACATTCTATTTTGTTCCTTGGTCTTACAATAACCCTACTATACCCTGCCCACTTCAGAAGTCCCTCCTCCTGTGGTCACCTTGTTGTTGTTATTTGCTGTTGAGTCGGCCCCGACTCATAGCGACCCCTCCTTGGGTTTCCGAGGCAGTATCATTACGGAAGTAGGATTGCCCAACCTTCCTTCCGAGGAGTGGCTGGTGGGTTTGAACTGCCAGCCTTCTGGTTAGCAGTCAAGTGCCTTAGGCACTATGCTACCAGACCACATTGCAAGGTAGAATGAAAAGCTAAGCACCAAGCCAAACTGTCACTCTCAGTTCATTCATTCACTTATTCATGATATTTTGCTTGGTATTTTAAATAAAGTTGCTTCCTGCTACCTCCTACACGTACACACACATGAATATGTACATATAATTCTCCTATAAATTAGTGCTAGAAAGTTATATCCTTTGATGAACAAGTAAGTTTGCTTTATGAGACTTTGGGATTATATTATTTTATGTTTTGTCTTGATACCTAAATTGATGCCAAATTTTCTGTGACTGTTTCATTCCTGGTTTTTGTTTTAGTTACCTCTTTTCTTTCTTTGTATGAGTTAACTGTAAGTTATTTTAAGTTGTTGTTGTTGTTGTTTGCCATCGAGTCAGCCCTGACTCATAGCGACCCCTCCTTGGGTTTCCCAGGCAGTATCACTACGGAAGTAGGATTGCCCAACCTTCCTTCCGAGGAGTTGCTGGTGGGTTTGAACCGCCAGCCTTCTGGTTAGCGGTCAAGTGCCTTAGCCACTATGCTACCAGAGCTCTCACTGCCATTGAGTGGGATCGGACTCATAGCAACCCCTCCTTAGGTTTCCAAGGCATTATCACTACAGAAGTAGAACTCCCAACCTTCCTTCCGAGGAGTGGCTGGTGGATTTGAACCACTAGCCTTCTGGTTAGCAAATGCCTTAGGCACTATGCCACCAGAGCACCCAATCCTGGATAAATATTAGGCCTACTTTTTACCTGGGTAATAGAAGGTAGAAAAAAAAAAAAACATTTTTTTCTTACAAATTTCTTCTAATAGACTCACATTAAACAAAAAACAAAAACAAAACAAAAAAAACCACACGAGAAAACACCAAACCCGTTGCCATTGAGTCGATTCCGACTCATAGCAACCCTATAGGACAGAGTGTAGTAGGGTTTCCAAGAGTGTAATTTGTTATGGAAGCAGAGTGCCTCATTTTTCTTCTGGACGCAGAGTGGCTAATGTGTTCTAACCACTGACCCTTTTATTAGCAGCCAAATGCATTAGCCTCTGCACCACCAGAGCTCCTTAGACTCACATTGCTCTCTATAAATATTTGAAAGTTTTGTTTTACAACATATAAATCTAATATATGGATTGAGTATAGAAGAGGAGTTCTTGGGAATTGTAAATGCATTCACATTGAGCAAGCATTTTTCAATATGCTTCCTGGTGTTTAGTTTTGTTGCAGTTCCTATTGTTCTTAACATGCTAACTTTGTGAAGTCTAGAACTTCAGGCTAAGATAGTTCAGTTTCTTAGTGCATCTATTATTAAATACACTTTTATGTAATAGGAAGTTATCTGGAAAAGTTACTTAGAATTTTTTGTTTTACAAATTCAGGTATAATAGCCCATAATGGAGTCAGTTCTATTATGAATCTTTTTGCAAAATGAATAAATAGTCTTCACATTACTGGAAAATGACTGTGTTTTGCTGGCTTGTCCAATGAGAGTTTCTTCTAGCGGTGGTATGGGTGTATAAGCAGTGAATACAACAACTCAATCAGTCCGTTTGTGGATACTCAGACTATGATTTCTGTTTCCCTTTATTCTTGTTGAGGCTTCTGCAGAGAGAAAACTTGAATCTACTGATGAGGAGAGGAAAATCCGGTTACCTCAGCTTATTTCTAACAAGGTAGTTCTTCTTTTAGTAACCATTAGAATCGTAAACTCATGTGAAGATCTACTATGGAATCTGAGCTTTTATTTGCTCAAAAAAATCACATGTGTTAGGCATTTTTATGCTGTTCGCATCAACAGGAACTTGTCTAATGTTAAATGTTATTAAAAAGTCAGTGGACATTTGGGTCTGGGCTTGGACCCCATTGTGGTCATTTAAAGTGTTCTGTGGAGTCGCATATGTAATTGTGAAGGTACTGAGTATGAGTTCACATTAGTTGTTTATATATTGATATTTCTTCGTGATACCCACAGAATTTTCACTTCTAAACCTTCACTTGCCCCTTTCACCCCAGATAATTTTCACTTCAGTTCAATATCAATTCATCAAGTCCTTGCCGTGTGTAAGGCTTGAGTCGCCTCCACCACTGCCACACACAGAGGTAAACTGTGGTTTGTAATCAGAGGTGTGCTATCAGAAGATATATTTGGGGGACAGAATAGTGTTCCCCAAAGCAAAGCCCACTCGTTCTTACAAAAGAGTGGATTTCTTTTACAAAGGAGTGGTTATTGAGTAATGATGTATTACACATGCAATTATAAATTTATTTTTCTTTAGCACTGTGTTGTTTGTTGTTATGTGCCGTCGAGTCAGCCCCAACTCATAGCGACCCCTCCTTGGGTTTCCGAGGCAGTATCACTACGGAAGTAGGATTGCCCAACCTTCCTTCCGAGGAGTGGCTGGTAGGTTTGAACCGCCAGCCTTCTGGTTAGCAGTCAAGTGCTTTAGCCACTATGCTACCAGAGCTCTAGTTTATGGAAATCAGTATACAAAAGTAAATTTTCATGAGAACGTTGGTTTGATTGATATATTGTTTTAATATTCAAATTAGACACCCTCTATCTTTGATTCAAATCTTTTAGTCCTGTTCTTATTCTTACTCATAAATCATTTTCAATACATAGTTATAAAATAAATGAAATAGGTGTCATTAATTTGTTATTTTAAAATCCTTCTCCACTCTGTTCTATATAACTCCTCTTCAGTTAAAACTTTATTAAGGTGTCATTTCAGAGGTACTGTACCTTATTGCCCCTACATTTCTCATGTTATTTTCTAGAAGTTTTTTGATTTTGTAGCCTACAAAGTGAATAGAATATTCTAACCTTGCCACACTTTGAATGAAGTGGTTGGCTGCTGCACCTGCTAAAAAGAAAGCAATCAGATCTAGTTCTTTAGAATCGGTTTAAAACTTTACTTTTTCCTTAAGATACACTTGTTCCGATTATTGTGAGTTGCAGCATTTATCAGGGCTTCAGATGCCCTGGAATGTAAGATTCCCCACCTCCATTTAAAAAATGCTAATTTGCATTAAAAATGATGTGTTTAAAAGAGGAAATGGCACCAATTTCAATATTTAGAGACTGTTCTTAGGCACAGGTTGCAACTCTGGAGAACAGGGTTGATGTCAGATGATCCTGTACCATGCTGTGTGGTGTGGGATGTAGGGGAGCTGGATGAACATAATCCCACCAATGACTTTGAGTCTCACAGAAGAATAAATAGCCAAACTATTAAACCATTGATGCAGGACTTGATTTTATTTTTTTTGGTCCCCCCCCCATGAGAGACATTTTAAAGACATTTCTTGGTATTAAATGTCCTCACGTGCAAAGTTATAGTTTCCAATCATTAATTGTCCCTAGTAGAGTGATTTGACAATGTAACATCAGGGGTACTCCGTGAATAAGAATTTCTTGTGCATTTACTATGGGCAGGGTGTGTATTGTCCTCGCAGGAAGCCTGCAGCAGGCTGTCTCAAACTAACCAGAGCAGGGAGGTGGTCAGGGAGGTGGAGTGACGGGGCTTGGGAAAGGTTTGAGGCTTCCCACAGGTTTCAACACTGTTTACCCAGGGATCTGATTCTGGAAGGTGGCCTTTTCCTGCAAGTGACTTCAGGGGGCATGATTGTTTTATCACTTAACTGTACACTTTTGGAAAGTCTCCATTGGCCAGCAGTGGCTTAAAGTTTGGTGTTGGTGAATTTGCTGGGGTGTGAATGCCCTGCAATGCAGGATCCTGGTGAGCAGCCATAAATAAATAGTACTTAAAGGAGAAGGTTTCCCAGAATTGGAGGTACACAGTAGCATCAGTTGATTTGGATTTTCCGCAGACCCCTGCCCCAACACCACCATCACTAGAAGTGTCTTTGGTTGGGGGAAGGGGAAGAGCCTCTTTGCTAGTTCACTGTAGACCTCAGGCCCCTTCAGGCACGGCCAGAGGGACTAAAAGAGAAAATCACCGTGGCCACAGCTGTCCTTCATTGTGAGCCGTAGGCTTTTAGGAGCAAATGAAGGTTTTGTGGCAAAATCATCTAACTGCTTGTCAAGGACTTCCAATAACTCTGGCCGATAACAACAGAAATTTTTTGAGAGCATTGGGGTGGAATAATGTGTGTCTGGCTGTGGTGAATAGAAGCTGGTATTTTCTAGATAAAGTTCCAGTGATTTACTTCAAAAGTATACTTTAAAAATTCATTTTTACAAAGGAGTGATTGAAAGAATTTTGATTATATGGTTCAGTCAAAGTTTGTCTAAAACTTTTGCTTACAAATTATCTTCAGGAATTCAAAAAATTCACAGCTCCATTTCTACCTTTCTTTCCTGATTCTAATCAATCTTATGTGATCGTTATTTCTTTGTATGCCACATTAATGTTTTTCTAATTGCATTTAAATTTCTCTTAGTTGTTCCACGACTTTCTAAATGACCACCAGGAAGGGAGAGTCAAGCTCTAGATAGGAAGGACTATTTCTTCTTCAGATATTTGCTTCTCTAATGTTCAGACTTCCTCATAAACACTCCAGATGCTTCTCCTAATTGGAACATGGAATATCTCATTTTAATAATACGTGTCATGCTGGGGCTGCTTGGCTGACACAGTTTAGATCGAAAATAATCAACTGAAATGGCATTTTTTTAAGAAAGCATTTGGTGAATAGGTAGATGGAGAATGTAGTTCTGATGCACCCTTTTGACTAAATAGTATTTATTCAAATGTTTACTTCAGAGATGTGTAGTAAATGCCCTGTCTTCTTTATATAACTTCATATAATAATTTCATACCACTGGGTATGGTCTCATTAACAACTTGTTATAGTTACAGGATCACAAGATGGAATTTGCGAGTAAAAAGAAAACATTCCTTATTGCTTTTGATGATGGCCTGAAGCTACACATTCCTTAAATTTCCAAATGATCTTTTGTAGGGATGAGGGAAAGTGTGTAGAAGGAATTTTGGAAATCTTTGACATGCTCCTGGCAACAACTTCAAGGTTTCGCGAGTTGAAACTCCAACACAAAGAGTATCTCTGTGTCAAGGCCATGATCCTCCTCAACTCTAGTGAGTAACCGCACAGCTGTGTTACTGTCTTACTGGGTTGTGTTTCATGGGGGGAGAGATGCTGTTTCTAAAATGGCAGAGCATTAAGAAGAGTATTGAACTCCTTACTCTGTCGAATAAGGGGGAAATGGCTTTCTTTCTGCCTTCTCTGCTTTATTTTATAGGGATTTCAACTGTAGTTAACTTTTGAATGTAAATTATTCATTGGGTAAATTACTGGCAGTCAATAAAAAATGTAACTCAAGTCATTTTGCTGGAAAGAAACTTTAAAATGTTTACCTTCCTACCTTTTTCATAGTTTTACATAGTTAACAGGCTTTATATGTCCTGATTTGAGTTCTGCTTTTCCAGAAATATTCATTCATTAACTCATTCAATAAAGAGACTTAAGATACAGTCCTGCCCTTACATAGCTCAAAGCATAGGGAGAAGAGAGAGAAAACAAATGATTAAATATAATGATCTCGATGCTATACTCCACCACTCGTCTATCAGTTTATTGTACTGTGGTGGCTTGCATGTTGCTGTGAGGCTGAAGGCTATGCCACCAGTATTTCAAATACCAGTGGGATCACCCATGGTGGACAGGTTTCAGCAGAGCTCTTCCAGACTAAGACAGACTGGGAAGAAGGATGAGGTCATCTACTTCTGAAAGAATTGGCCAGTAAAAACCTTATGAATAGCAGTGAAACACTGTCTATTACTGGAAAACTTTATCAGTTGCCCGAAACATTGTCTGATACAGTGCCGGAAGCTGAGCCCCCCAGGTTGGAAGGTACTCAAAATACAACTGGGGAAGAGCTGCCTCCTCAGAGTCCTCGACCTTAATGACATGGATGGAGTAAAGCTTTCAGGACCTCCATTTGCTGATGGGGCACAATTCAAAAGGGAAGAAACAGCTGCAAATATCCATTAAAAATTGGAATGTGGAATGTATGAAGTATGAATCTAGGAAAATTGGAAGTTGTCAAAAATGAAATGGAATGCATAAAGATTGATATTTTAGGCATTAGTGAGCTGAAATGGACTGGTATAGGCCATTTGAATCAGACGTTCATATGGTCTACTATGCTGAGAATGACAAATTGAAGAGAAATGGCATCACATTCATTGTCAAAAAGAATGTTTCAAGATCTATCCTGAACTACATTGCTGTCAGTGTTAGGGTAATATCCATATGCCTACAGGGAAGAACTGTTACACTACTATTATTCAAATTTTGCCCCAACCACCAAAGCCAAAGATGATGAAATTGAAGATTTTTACCAACTTCTGCAGTCTGAAATTGACCAAACATGCAATTAAGATGTATTGATTATCACTGGTGATTGGAATGCAAAAGTTAGAAATAAAGAAGAATCATCAGGGTGGAAGATATGGCCTTGATGATAGATATGATGCTGGAGATTGCATGATAGAATTTTGCAAGACCAATGACTTATCCATTGCAAATACCTTTCTTCAGCAACATAAACGGTGGCTTTTCACGTGTACCTCGCCAGAGGACTGCATGGGAAGCAGATCAAGTACATCGGTGGAAAGAGGCAATGGAGAAGCTCAGTATCTTCAGTCAAAAAAAGGCTAGGAGTTCACTGCAGAATAAACCATCAATGGCTTCTATGCTAGTTCAAGTTGAAAGTGAAGAAAATTAAAACAAGTCCATAAGAGCCAATATATGACCCTGATGATATCCCACCTGAATTTAGAGATTATCTAAGGAATAGATTTGATGCACTGAACACCAGTCGCCGAAAACCGGACAACTTGTGGGATGACATAAAGAACATCATCCATGAAGAAAACAATAGTCATTAAAAAGACAGGAAAGGAAAAAAAGACCAAAATGGATGTCAGAGAGTGAAACTTGCTCTGGAATGGAGAGTATCTAAAGCAAATGGAAGAAATGATGTGATAAAAGAGCTGAAAAGAAGATTTCAAAGGGCAGTTTGAGAAGATAAAGTATTATAATGAAATGTGCCAAGACCTAGAGTTAGAAAATAAAAAGGGAAGAACCGACTCAGCATTTCTCAAGCTGAAAGAACTGAAGAAAAAGTTCAAGCCTTGAGATGCAATATTGAATGATTCTCTGGGCAAAATATTGAATGATGCAGGAAGCGTCAGAAGAAGGTGGAAGGCATACAGAGTCAGTGTACCAAAAAGAACTGCTCAACATTAAACTATTTCAGAGGTAGCAAGTAATCAAGAACCAGTGGTATTGAAGGAAGAAATCCAAGCTGCACTGAAGGAACTGGAGAAAAATCAGGCTCCAGGAATTGACAGAATATCCATTGAGATGTCTCAGTGAACGAATGCAGCATTGAAGGTGCTTACTCATTTAGGCCAAGAAATTTGGAGGACAGCTACCTGGCCAACTGACTGGAAGAGTTTGATATTTGTGCACATTCCAAAGAAAAGTAATCCAACAGAATGTGGAAATTATCGAACAATATCATATGCAAGTAAAATTTTGCTGAAAATAATTCAAAATGGGTTGCAGCAGTATATTGACAGGGAATTTCCAGAAATTCAAGCTGGTGTCAGAGGAGGACATGGAATGAGGGATGTCATTGGTGATGTCAGATGGATCTTGGCTGAAAGCAAACAGTACTAGAATGATGTTTACCTGTGTTTTACTGATTATGCAAAAGCATTCAACTGTATGCATCATAACAAGTTATGGATAACATTATGAAGAATGGGAATTTAAGAGCACTTATGCTCATGAGAAACCTGTGCATACACCAAGAGGCTGTCATTTGAACAGAACAAGGGGATACTGAATGGTTTAAAATCAGGAAAGGTATGTATCAGGGTCTTTTCACCATACTTATTCAACCTGTATGCTGAGAAAATAATCCAAGAAGCTGGACTATTTGAAGAAGAATGTGGCATCAGTTTTGGAGGAAGATTCATTAACAACCTGTGATATCCAGACGACACAATCTTGCTTGCTGAAAGTGAAGATGAGTTACTTATTAATAAAGATAAAAAACTACAGCCTTCAGTATGGATTACACCTCAAAATAAAGAAGCAAAAATCTTCAGAACTGGACTAATAAGCAGCATCACGATAAATGGAGAAAAGATAGAAGTTGTTAGAGATTTCACTTCACTTGGATCCTCAATCAACACCCATGGAAGCTAGAGAAGAAATCAAATGTCATATTGCACTAGGAAAATCTGCTGTACAACACCTCTTTAAGGTGTTAAGAAAATGCCAACAATGTCACTTTGAAGACCAAGGTTCACCTAACCCAAGATGTGGTATTTTCAATCTCCTCATATACTTGTGAAAGCTGGACAATGAATAAGGAAGACTGAAGAGGAGCTGATGCCTTTGAATTGTGTTGAACTGAAAATACCATGGACTGCCAGAAGAACGAACAAATCTGTCCCAGAAGAAGTGTTGCTGGAATGCTTCTTGGAAGCAAGAATGGCCAGACTTTGTCTCACCTACTTTGGTCATATTGTCAGAAGGAACCATACCCTGGAGAAGGATATCATGCTTGGTAAAGTGGAGGGTCAGTGAAGAGGGGGAAGGACCTCAACGAGATGGATTGACACAGTGGCTGCAATGATGGGCTCAAGTGCAGCAAAGATTGTGAGGATAGCACGGGATCAGGCAGTGTTTTGTTCTGTAGTACACAGGATAGCTATGAGTCAGAGCTGACCAATGGCACCTAACAACAACAACAAAACAATGCTACATTAAAGTATATACAGAATAAACCTACTGCCATTGAGTTGACCCTTTTTACGACTGAGTTAAGCTACCTCATTGAGTTTCCAAGGTTGTAAGTCTTTATGGAAGCAGACTGCTTCATCTTTCTCCTGCAAAGTAACTGGTGGGTTCAAACTGCTGACCTTTTGGTTAGCAGCCCAATGTGTTAACCACTACACCATCAGAGCTCCTGATATACAGAGCACTATAGGAAAATAGAAGGAGGAGAGACTCTGGATGGTTGCAGAGGGGAATGATGCTTGACAGAGTCTTCAAGGATGAGTAGATGTTAGCTGGGCAGATTTAAGGAAAAGACATGGAGGAATAAAAGAACCTGAGGGAGCCTGGAGAGCTGCAAGTCATCCAGTGGACAGCTGGTAGAGGTGGAAAAGGCTGTACTGCACACCTTGGCTTGAAAACTGCTGCTTTGGGCATTCAGCAGCCATAGAAGGAGTTTGGGCAGGGGAGTGAGTATCTCAGAGTTTAAATTTTGAAACAACAGGAATCTCTGAGATCATATCATGCTACTTTCTTTTCAGTCAGCCAAAGCAGCAGTCCTAGGAGCCAATTCTCAATGCAGAACCTGTGGCCGCATGGGTCCAGGCTGCCTCTTCATCTGGGACCAGCTGTGTTCTCCCTACCCTGTACTTATTTCTTATCTGTCCAACACCCCCACGCTCTCCACTTGAGACACTGTTTTGATGAAGAGGAAAGGGAAACATACACAACATACACAAAGTAGCCAACTCTTTGTTGTGAAGGACAATTTTTTTTCCTGTCAAATTTTCAGTTCTCCCTAGACAGTTACTTTTATAAAATATAACAAGAATGAATTTTGTACAAACTGGTTCAAATGGAAAACAGGATGGAAAAAAAAATAAGAACCTTGTATTAATTCTCACAATATTGCCTACTTAGTTTTTGTTTCCGGATTAATGTAGCACTGGCTTGGTTCCTGTCACTGTCGGTAAGAAAAGGATGATGGGTAAATGCAACCCCCCCCAAAAAAAAAGAAATGACAAAAATACAATGAGTTACTAGAGAAATTAAAGAAAATGCAAACCCTAGGTTTTCATTATTACATTTACCTGATTTAAAATTACTCTGTCAATTGCTATAAAAGTTGCTAAATGCTGAATTTCTCTATCCATCTCTTTGTGGACTGGTACTTTGAGTAGCTCTTGTATAGTGTGCTGTCAAGGAGCTGGTGGGGGATAGTTAAAGCCCTGGGGGAATGAAGGAATCTGAAGGTAGAAAAACTCAAGACAACCTTTCTGCA